CTAATTATCCTAAGTCCTTAAAACCTTAAGTCTTCTGCAAGCTATATGGGAAATACAAAAAGAGGCTGCACTGCACAGAATAAATATAGTAGGATAACAATAGTGTATCTCAATAAAGTCTTAACTTGATAGTTCTTTCTTAAGGTCAATTGGTCTCTAACGTGCTTGTTGGGGGATATTGTTCACGTGGATCTTCCCCGGAAAGGTCCAATAATATATAAAGACAAAAGATAAAACAAAATAGTGCAATATATCCTATAAGGTAAAATAAAAGAAAGACGGTGGTGCACTCACATGTGAAAGAGCTATAGCTAGCTCTAGTATGGACAGCGTAGAGCGGTATAATCCCCGCTTATGGGATATGGTGTAGATGTTTTGCTTCAAAGGTATGTTCAACACTCAAAGAGAATAAAATAGAGACAACCGATAGTGCTCTCTGAATAAAACAATGATGTTAAAATATATATAAAAGGGGTACTCACAAGGGTGAGGCAGACAGACTGCCCACTGGTATAAGCGTTGGTGGTTTGATCCCCACCTAGGATTTCTTGGCGTCCACAGCGATAAAATGCCAGGTAAAATATAAATTGTTATAGAGTGTATAAAAGATAATTGGCACAAATAAAAGTAACCAACAGATCTTTAATGAATAAAATACACTATATAAAATCCACAAACGTGTTTCGCCTAAAAGGCTTTCTCAATATGGAATTAGAACATGATACCTGGCAGGGTAAGTTTAAATAAGGTAAGAATTAACTAAAATTGGCGCCTAAAATCCGGTCAGCCAATTGGAATACAGATATAAATAATGTTGGTAAAACTTATTATTAAGATAAAAATAACATTAGTATAAGTTAATAGACATAATATATTACATTAAAATATAAAAACGAGTGTTATTTCGCTAGATGGAAACGTTTTAATGTGGTCACGTGACTGTCTTTGGGCTGCAATGGAAGTTGGGAGATGTAGTGAACGTGTGCGCATGCGCGCACATTAGGGCTAGCGAGGGGAGGTGGGTAGGAAGAGGGGGCTGTGGCTGAATAGCCAATAAGGGAGGGGTGCGGGCTTGGAGATGGCTATATGTGGAAACTGACCAACCCTTTTTATCCAGCACTCACTTTCTTGTTAATATAGGGCAGTATGCAATGTAAAGGTTCATTCAACAAAACACTCTGCTTTGCAAAAGAAGGCAATCAACAGAGTAGCAGATAGAAAAGTCTACACTAAACTCACTGCGAACAGAAATGGAAAATGAAACTGTTTTTTTAAGGTAGTGGGTATGGAAGCTGTGTGTATTAAAAGCTTACCGTTTTATTGAAAGGGTAGTAGATATCTGGAATAAACTTCCAGTAGGGGCAGTAAAGGCTAACAGTGATATAGAAAGGGTAGTAGATACCTAGAATAGCCTTCCAGTGGGAGCAGGGCCGGCGCTACCTGTAAGGCAACCCAAGCAGCCGCCTAGGGCGCAACTTAGCAGGGGGCGCCTGTGCCTGTAGGCTTTTTAATGTAAACACACTGTCTTTTCAGATAAAAGACACTTTGTGAAGACTGGGGCGTTGGCCCATATGGCAGAGCATATGGGTGGGGCATATGGGGGGGGGGGAGGGGTGGCAAAATTTTTTTTGCCTAGGGCCGCAAAAATCCTTGCACTGACCCTGAGTGGGTTAACAGTGATATAGAAAGGGTAGTAGATACCTGGAATAGTCTTCCAGTGGGAGCAGTAACCTTCATATAGAAAGGGTAGTAGATACCTGGAATAGCCTTCCAGTGGGAGCAGTAACAGTGATATAGAAAGGGTAATAGATACATGGAAAAGCCTTCCAGTGGGAGCAGTAAAAGCTAACAGTGATAGAAAGGGTAGTCGATACCTGGAATAGCCTTCCAGTGGAGGCAGTAAAGGCAAACCATAAACGAATTGGAGAATGTTTGGAATGTACATAAGGCTAATCTAATGGCCTGTAAAATCCTCTAGATTTATAAATGGTGACTAGAAGATGGACAGTCAATAATAAATGTGGAAATCCTTATCTCACACATAACATGAGTAACAATATCTAGGGACAGAAACAATAGAACAAAGCGCAGTGGGGGATAAGAGGAGATAACTGGCTGAGAAGGGGCTTTTATCTGCTGGAACACTCAAGAGTCCTCCTAGAAAACCATTGGTTAATTTACAAATTATTCACTAAAGTGAGAATTCAAAGAGAATTTCAAATTTAAGGTCAAAAAAGCCGAATGTGGAGAAAATACGGTCCGCTATGCTTTCAGCTTGAAAATGTGTAAATATGAAAATCAACACAATGGAAAAGTCTGTGGTAAGAGTCAATATGTGGTATAAAAGTCCCAGTCTTTAAATAAGTATCCCCACATGAATACAAAGCACTGATATATCGTGTCTGCCTGTGTCAGAAAACTCAGCTAGAAAAACAGCTGGAAGCACGGCCGGTAGGCTAGTTTGATATAATACTAGCAGTTGATTCTTGAACTGTAATGCTGGTCTAAGTTTAAATATGTACAATAGTTGTGGTCAAAATACTTAAAGATCGTGAATTTGGTCTTAAGTAACGAAATAACGCAGATAATTTGGAAGTTAAAACGAGCGTATCGTGAGAATGCTGGGGTAAAAAGCTTTTTGTGGGTAAAAAGCTTTTCTTGGATCTTGCGCTCCTTCACTCCGGCCGCTTGGACACAGGTAGAATGGAGAAAACTGGTATGAAGTGCCGCTTGCGTTCCACTACGACTCGGTAGCCACGCGATTTTTGCAGCAGATGACAAAATTCCTTATGGGTTTTGTGAGTTCAAACTCACTTTATCAGAGTAGATTCTCCATTCTACATTGTGTTGATTTTTATATTAACACATATTTTCAAGGAACATTCCACAATCAAATACCATAACTACTCCTGGAAATGTATTAGATTGTATATAATTTCTTTCTTTTATCTTATATTCTTGCTTTGAGTAGGGGAGCCTGTTCTTCCATTAGAGTGGTGTCATTATTCTCCGTTATTGTCTACTCTAATCTGAGGATTTATTATCACCCTAGTTTGATGTTTTCAACCTGGCTACTCTGCTCTTCCATTTGAAATTCACTGTGAATTTGCACTGTAGTCAATAACCCTGATAGTTTTAGCTCGGAATGTAACTTGAATGAGAATATGAACAATATAAATGTTACTGTAAAGATTAATAAAATGAGTCAGGTTTTTACATTAAAACACATCTTAGTCACACCTCTACAGTAAAACCCAAAAGGTTGATTAGAAATCTGGGGGTCATTTAATAATTGGAATTCCACTGATGTGACAGGCGTTTTGTTAAAGTCTACTTTCGTTTGCAAGTTGTTTGCTTCCTGTCATTCAATGCCTCTGGCCTGCACAACTAGCTGGCCACCCCACTGCTACTGTGTAACTTGGTGGCAGCCCTGGATCCATTATTAAAAAGTGAGCAGCCTATAGACTATTTAACTGAACAGAGACATGGGACAGGGGACTCACAATTCCACCAACAGATAAAAATGTGTGAAAGTACACCTGTGTGTATCAAGGAACTACCACTTGGATCCCTAATCAACCCCTGTATATAGACAATTATTACAATAGTATCCCAATACTTAAAATGCCTCACTGCTCTGAGACAGTGGCCTGTGGCACAATCTGAAAAAGTAATGTAAGTTTCCCAACGGCTCCAGCAGAAAAAAGCGTAAAACTGAGGGAAACAGCTGCTCCTTGCCTGGATAAATTGCTGGCTCTTAAATGCAAAGATAACATGAGGTGTTCATCCTAACAACGATCCACAGTGAACACAGTTTGTGGCAAATGGGAAACGAAACTGCTGTCAGTCTGCATTATAACAAGCACATGAGGGGAACTGACCTGTCTGATCAGCTGGGGCTGCATGGACGGAAACAAATATGGAAAATTAAAATGTATACTCGCCTAGTAATTTTATTTTCCTGGCTATTTATCATGGCAGCATCACTTATGGGTAGCTCAACCCCAAAGCAGATCAGGACAGGATCAACCAATAAAAAAAAAAGAGAGGAAATAGACTGGAGGCATAAAAGGTCCCACCTCCTTCCATACGCCAGTCCAGCTAAAAAGAAAGAAGGGAGGGTGACTGATGCTGCCATAATAAATAGCCAGGAAAAGAAAATTACTAGGTACCGTATATACTCGAGTATAAGCCGAGTTTTTAGGCACATTTTTTGTGCTGAAAAACCCCAACTCGGCTTATACTCGAGTCACTGTCTGTATTATGGCAACTTACATTGCCATAATACAGACTGGGGGCTGGCAGAGCTGTTACTTACCTCTCCTGCAGCTCCTGTCAGCTCTCTCCTCCTCCGCGCTGGTCCGTGCAGCACCTCGGTCAGCTCCCAGTGTAAGTCTCGCGAGAGCCGCGGGGTCATAGTGCGGCTCTCGCGAGACTTACAGTGTGAGCTGAGAGAAGAGCTGCACGGACCGGCGCGGAGGAGGAGAGAGCTGACAGGAGCTGCAGGAAGAGGTAAGTAACAGCTCTGCCAGCCCCCCTCCTCCCCCCACTGAACTGCCAATGCCACTGGACCACCAGGGAAGGAGAGCCCCCCTCCCTGCCATGTATCAAGCAGGGAGGGGGGACAACAAATAAATAAATAATAAAATAATAACAAAATAATAAAAAAATAATAAAATATTAAAACAAAAAAATTATTAAAATAATTTTAAAAAAAATAATAAAAATGCCCACCCCCCACCAAGGCTCTGCAACACACACAAACACACACACAAACACACTGCACTCATACGCACACACTGCACTCATACACACACACTGCACTCATACACTGCACTCATACACACACACTGCACTCATACACACACACACTGCACTCATACACACACACACTGCATTCATACACACACTGCATTCATACACACACACTGCATTCATACACTGCATTCATACACACACTGCACTCATATACACACACTGCATTCATACACACACTGCATTCATTATATACACACACTGTAAATAAATATTCAATTAATATAATTTTTTTAGGATCTAATTTTATTTAGAAATTTACCAGTAGCTGCATTTCCCACCCTAGTCTTATACTCGGGTCAATAAGTTTTCCCAGTTTTTGGGGGTAAAATTAGGGGCCTCGGCTTATATTCGGGTCGGCTTATACTCGAGTATATACGGTAAGTATGTAATTACATTTTCCATATTGCTGGCTAATCATGGCAGCATCACTTATGGATAATACCAAAGCAAAAAAACATTGGAAGGGAGGAAAAACAAGTTGAATTGAATAGACAGAAGACTCTGATTGCTGCAAAGGAAACCTAAGTTTTTTTATGAGCATTAACAGCCAACAAGACTTCTCTGCCAAATGAAGTAGTCTTAGAATGAATGTCCAGTTTGTAGTTCTTAATGAAGGATGTAGGAGTGGACCAAGTAGCTGCCCTGCAGCAGTCATCCGGAGGAACCTCTGCACAACTAGCCCAAGACGTAGCCAGGGACCTGGTGGAGTGAGCGCTGATTCTGGCTGGACGAGTCATCTTCTATCACAGGTAGGAGTCTGTTATGATAGAAGCTATCCATCTCTGTAAGGTAGAGGAAGACACCGCTTCACCCTTATGAAGGCCAGAAGGAAGGACAAACAATTTGTTGTTCTTTCTGAAGACAGAAGTAACCGATGGGTACTTGATTATAAGCTCTCACACATAGGGTTCATGGTATCGCTTTTCCTCGGGAGAAGACGGGAAAGTAAAGGAGGAAGGGAGAACCACCTCCTAGAGTAGATAAAATCTAGATACGACTTTACGAAGGAGAGACACAAACACAAAAAAATAAAAAAAAATAATTTACAACATTAAATTTCTTTTGTAAAAAGTTCAAAAAGTACCGGGGAGGCACAAAGAATTCTGACAGCAGACGCAGAGGTAACAGACAGTGCCTCAGTTTTACGAAGGTTAAAGGACCACCATAGTGCCAGGAAAACATACTCGTTTTCCTGGCACTATAGTGCTCTGAGGGTGCCCCCACCCTCAGGGTCCCTCTCCAGCCCGGCTCTGGAAAGGGAAAAGGGATAAAACGTACCTTTTTCCAGCGCTGGGCGGGGAGCTCTCTGCCTCCTCTCCTCTTCTGATCCGCCCCGTCGGCTGAATGCGCACGCGCGGCAAGAGCTGCGCGCGCATTCAGCCGGTCACATAGGAAAGCATTCTCAATGCTTTCCTATGGACGCTGGTGTGCTCTCACTGTGAAAATCACAGTGAGATGCACGCAAGCGCCTCTAGTGGCTGTCAATGAGACAGCCGCTAGAGGCTTTGGGGGAAGACTTAACCCATTCATAAACATAGCAGTTTCTCTGAAACAGCTATGTTTATTAAAAAATGGGTTAACCCTAGCTGGACCTGGCACCCAGACCACTTCATTAAGCTGAAGTGGTCTGGGTGCCTAGAGTGGTCCTTTAACACAGCGATGATTCAGCAGGGCCCATATACTATTCTATTATCATTGCTTCATGCAGAGAGCACTATTCTTTGTTGTATTTTTTTCCTCGCATATCGAGACTACCTTCACTCCGAGTCATACACCATCAGCTACCACCTATATTCTACCAATGGGGGATCAACGCCACTGAATGCATCAATAGGTGAGTAGGAATACCATTGCTGTGAAGTTTCTGTTCTGTTCATTGCTGGATACAGTGTACACTATTGGAGCTCTTCTTTTTATTTGCATATCCTGAACTATACTAAGAGGATCAGAAGACCTCAAGATCTGCACTACTAGCAGTCCCACACCATATTTAAGTCCCCGCAAGTCAAGTTGGTCCCTTAAAATCAGGACTTTTATATATTTCATTTTATCATGTTTTATGTAAGTACACTATTGCATTCATACTATTTTATTTCTATTTTTATCTTTCTTATTGTATTTTATCACCTGAAGTGCCTCTTCTCAATATCCAGTATACTATTGGTTTTACTATTACATTTCTATTGTGGTGCAACCTATAACTCTTATTCTCTAGATTTTATATTTTTGACGATTTGTGAGGGAACGTCATATTTTTAGGTTGCGGCCTACTCTTATTTTACCTTATTTTAGCTTCTCATTGGCCACCGAGCACTAAACCCACTACTGTTTACTCATTTCGACCCCATGATCATTGTACGCCAAATATTCCCCATTTCACAGCAAAATAGTAATTTCTTCATAATTAATTTAACCCCTTAAGGACAGAGCCAAATGTACACGTTGTGAACAAAACAAAATGTAAACAAAACCTGGCATTTGTGCTACATGTCTGTCCAACCGTAATTCACCTCTTTCATATTAAATGCACCCACCCTTATTATATATCATTTTATTCAGGGGAAACAGGGCTTACCTTTAATATCAAATTTTTAGCCATGAAACATAATTTAATATGAAAAAAATGGGAGAAAAGATTTTTTTTTAATTTTTTTAGTTCTACATGACATTTTAACTGTCAATGTCATAATACTGTTTGCTTTTACTGCAATAAAATACACATATTTGTATTCAGCAAAGTCTCACGTGTAAACAGTACCCCCTATGTACAGGTTTTATGGCGTTTTGGGAAGTTACAGGGTCAAATATAGCACGTTACATTTGAAATTGAAATTCGCCAGATTGGTTACGTTGCCTTTGGGACTTTATAGTAGCCCAGGAATGAAATTTACACCCATAATGGCATACCATTTGTAATAGTAGACAACCCAAGGTATTGCAAATGAGGTATGTCCAGTTTTTTTTAGTAGCCAACACTGGCCAAAGTTAGCGTTAGTATTTGTTTGTGTGTGAAAAATGCAAAAAACCCCAATTTTGGCCAGTGTTTGTGACTAAGTGGCTACTAAAAAAGACTGGATATACCCCGTTTGCAATACCTTGGGTTGTCTTCTTTTGCAAATGGTATGCCATCATAGGGGTAATTTTCATTCTTGGGCAACCATAGGGTCTCAAAGGCAAAGTAACCAATCTGGCAAATTTTAATGTGAAAAAAATGAAACACAAGCCTTATATTTGACGCTATAACTTTTGAAAACACCATAAAACCTGTACATGAGGGGTACTGTTGTACTCGGGAAACTTCGCTGAACACAAATATCGGTGTTTCAAAACAGTAAAAAGTATCGCAGCAATAATATCGTCCGTGTAAGTGCTGTTTGTGCGTGAAAAATGCAAATAAAATCACTTTTACTGGCGATATCATCGTTGTAATACATTTTACTGTTTCGAAACACTAATATTTGTGTTCAGCGAAGTCTCCCGAGTAGAACAGTACCCCCCCATGTACAGGTTTTATGGTGTCTTGGAAGTTATAGGGTTAAATATAGTGCTAGCAAATTAAATTCCCTTTACTTTTAGCATGGGTTGTCAGGCAGGTCCCGCTAATTGTAATTAATTAAGATACCTAATTATGTAAAAATATTACATAAAATATATGTAGAATTAGTATATGTATATATATATATATATATATATATATAATTTTTAAAAAATATTTTTATTTATATATAGGTATATATATATAGTGATATATATGTATATATGTATATAGATATATATATTTCGTTCTATGGGTATTTTGATATAAATATATATATATTAATATCACAATACAGTTAGAACGAAATAACACACATCTATATATTTTTTAATTATTTATTTTTAATTATTTTTTACATTTTATTTTTTAACATATTTACATTTTTTTTATATTATAAATATATATAACAATAATTATATATATATTTAATCAGTATCAGTCTACGTGTAATTTGATATTAATATATATATATAATATATATATATATATATATTATATATATATATATATTAATAGTAAAATACACCTAGACAGTATATGTGTGTGTATGTATATGTGTATATAGTCAACCCAAGGTATTGCAAATGAGGTATGTCCAGTCTTTTTTAGTAGCCATTTGGTCACAAACACTGTCCAAAGTTTGCGTTAGTATTTGTTTGTGTGTGAAAAATGCAAAAAACGCCAATTTTGGCCATATATATATGATCTAAGTATATAATTTTTTTTTTTTTTACACTTTTAAACTTTAATTAATTTTATTTAACTTTATTTCCAGCCAGCAGGGGGACCACCTGTCATTACAGGCAGCCACCCTGCTGGCAATGCTGCAGCCAGCTATCCCGGCCATGTGATTGTGAGGTCCTCACAAGGACCTCACTCTCACATGGCCGGGGGGCTGCTGGAGTGAAGATGTGCCGCGGGGGCCTCCCTGGGAGTCCCCCCAACCGCGATCACCGGCGTGGGACCGCCGGCGACCGGGTAAGTAAAGAAAGACCGGAGCGCGTACTATTACGCCCGGCGGCGTTTAGAGCCGCCTAAAATAGGGCGTAATAGTACGCCCTCCGGTCTTAAGGGGTTAAATAGATGAGCTGCTTATATTTAAATATAGATGTGGCCTTTGAGGGGTAATTTGCAATCATGAGCTGCTATGTTTCTCTAAAATGAAACATCAACTTTCCTGTTCAACATCCACATGTACCCTAGCGTGTCTACTTTAAGAAATAAAGTAGGCCTTTGTGGGTTTGTTTGAATTAGCAACCTGATAAAATGTTTCAAAATGGGTCATGGACCAAGCATCAAACTTCAGTTTTAAAAAACCTGAAAAGGCTGAGTGTCATATTTGCCCCTTCAACTTTCAACTTAAACCTGGCACAGGTACACACAGGGGTATTGCTGTACTCAGACAACATAGCAAGGTAACATATTAAAGGGATACTATAGTGCCAGGAGCACAAATCTGTACACACAGATACAGACAGGTGTATTGCTGTACTTAGACGACATAGCTGAGCAACATATTAAGTGTTATACTGCAGTAGCACACACTAGGATTGCAAAACATAAAGTAAGATCTCAAAGTGTGTGTCAGAAAGTGCTTATTACCACTCCACTTGGTACAAACTAGCAAAACAATGACAAATATTAAACAAGATTCTGGCACTCTGTAGAATTAATGATGCTGGTATTGAGGCACACCCACCATAAATGCCTCCATAAATGACCAAAACAATATACAAAAATGATACCGCACTCAAATACTATCAAATGCTTAAAGTCTTCCTTTATTTTATATATTTATCCACTATGATTTGCCAAAAAATTATAAGATGGAATGAGAATATACTTCAATAAAGTGTAGGCAGTGCAAAAAAAATAATTAAATATGGTGCCAAATAAAATGAATGTAGCAAAACAATGATCCCTTTGGTGTCTTCTTTAATAAATGTTATGCTTTTGTGGAGTAGTTTGAATTAGCAACCTGCTAAAATGCTCCAAAATGGAACATGGACCAAACAACACCATCTATGAAAATTCACATTTAAAAACCTAAAATGGTCAGGTCTGTTATATAGCACTGTAACTTCACAAGATAGTGTCTAGCTCATACATTGGGCATATTGTTTTACTCAGAAGATGCAACTGAGCATAATTTGGGGGATTTTATAACAATGGCACATACCAAATGTACAAAATACGCAGCAAAACGGCAACATGTATATAAAAAAATTCCACAAACTTTTGCATAAACTAGTAAAAAATGGGCGTAAAGTAAAGGCACAATATACACCATATGAGTTACCCTGCAGTGTCTACTTTCACAAATGGTAGGCATTTGTGAGGTTACTTGAACAGTCAAACTGCTATAATGCCCCAAAATGAGACATAGGCCCATCGAATTAATCTATGAAAATTCTAATCGTGGAAACGGAAGAAGATGTCTGCACCTGCTAGGGATAGGTTCAGTTGAGTGGCACTCCCCAGATGGTGTAAGTGCTGCTTTAAGTGCATGCCAAGCTTCTAAAGCTGTGTCCTTAAGAGGTTAAATAAGGTTTGAGAAAACCTATCTTTGTGGGACATGCAAACAAGACCGACTGAGGCTGGGTCACAGCTGCTTCAAGCCTTCCCCCCATGAAATGCCACATCCCTAGCCAAGTGAGAAGATAGACTGTGGGAGACACGATCAGATAACTCCATTGCCGGCACCTGGCCACAAAAATTACAAACGCAATATACAATATTGCAATGTGTTCCCTTCCCCAGAGGGTACGCAATATACTAGATACTCTGGGGAAGGGAAAATGCTCACAGGTGGGAACATGTGGATATAACTGTAGGACCCTCAGAAAGCACCAGACCTACTGAAATCTGCTGAAATAAAATAATCTGTATTCTTGAAGGGACACTTCAGGTACCATAATCACTATACATGCCTTGGTGTGTTTATGGTGCAAGGCATCTTGTTGTCCCAGTTTTGTCAAACTAATTTAAAATTTGTCCCAAAATAAGTATTCCTTGCAACCCTTGTTACCCACCTCGCTTGAGACAAGATAATTTGTATCTGTAGAAATGCCAGGATCTGAGGAAAACCATGTGTATTAACTGTTATTTATTAAACTGACCTTTTGGGAACTGACTAGAGAATTTTTCCTATTCAGCTATTATCTCCTATAATTTGCGATTCTATGGTGAATTCCCTGGGTTTATTGAACTGGAAACCATATTGGAAAATTTAGGCCATAATAGCAGATTTTAAAAAATCTTCCAACTTAAACATTTTCTCCCGAAACTGATCCACCCAGACCAAGTGGGCTTCATTCCCAATAGACAAGCCTACGACAACACAAGACGCACCTATGACCTAATCTGGACGGCCAACCACAGACGGATCCCGACGCTACTACTATCCCTAGACGCCGAAAAGGCATTTGACAGGATCCTCTGGCCATATTTATTTGCGGTCCTGACGAGGTTCGGCTTCCCCAGGGCCCTATTACAAGCAATTCGCACCCTCTACACCAACCCAACAGCACGACTACTAATACCAAATGCCCGCCAAACCCCGTTCCACATACGAAACGGCAACAGATCCGCAATACACCTGCCATACAAGGCATAAAAATAAGAAGAGAGGAATACAAAGTGGCAGCATATGCTGACGACTTGCTTCTAACCCTGACTGACCCAGGGACATCCCTACCCCCACTGTTAGACTTACTAGACTTACTAGAGGCATACGCAAAAATCTCAGGGTACAAACTCAACATAGAGAAAACTGAAGCCCTAACAATCCAAACCCCATCTCACACGCGAACACTACTGCAACAAAACTACCCGTTTCGCTTCCAAACGCAAAGTATTCATTATCTAGGAACAGAGATACCGGCAGACCTACATTCTACATACAGACTAAACTATCCCCCATTAATCGACCAGGCCCTGAGAGACCAGCAAACCTGGCAAAAATTATCCATCTCATGGCTTGGGAGGCTGGCAGCGATTAAAATGAACTTACTGCCACGTTTTCTCTATCTCTTCCAGACCCTCCCCATCCCACTCTCACGAGCAGACTTCAAAAATCTCCAAATGCACATTGATAAATTTATTTGGGCGGGGAAAAGAGCTAGAATAAAACGAATTACCCTGTATATCCCACACAAAAAAAGGGGGACTAGGCCTGCCAAATTTCTGGGACTATCACCAAGCATCCCAACTTGCACAAATCCAAACCATGCACGCCCCCCCAGGGGTCAAGCGCTGGGTGGACCTGGAACACGACCTATTCGGACGAGATCTGCCAACGCTCTACCTATGGATACCAAAAACACACAGACCACAACAGCCCAACACGACACCAGCCCTCACGACAGCCATCCACATTTGGAACAGGGCGACCGACAAATACAACCTCATAAATACTCCCTCACCCCTTATGCCGGTTCTGAGGAACCCTCAATTCACCCCGGGAATGACGCCCCAACATTTCATCAGGTACGAGGACAATGACCTTACGAGAATCTGTCATTTTTATAGGAACGACCGCCTTATTCCCTTCCCAGAATTGCCAAACGCCACACCATATAACACGTTTGACCACTTTAGATACCTCCAACTCCGAAGCTTCCTGTCAACCCCCACTATAGCCGCTGCGGCGGTGTTGAAACCCACTGCATTCGAAAGGGGCTGCCTGAACAACCCAATACACAAGGGCCAAATCTCCAACCTATATAACCTCATAACGCTTAAAGCCCCACCTGACGCCCTCTCCTACGTAAAGGCCTGGGAAAGGGATCTTGGTCCCCCGGGGGACCCCTCGGACTGGGCTGACATATGGGAAGCAACAGCGACAGTGACTATCTGTGTTAACCACAGAGAGCAGGCGTATAAGACCCTGCTCCGGTGGTACCTCACCCCCCTGAGACTCAAACAAATGAAACGCACAGACTCGGACAGATGCTGGAAGGGATGTGGCGAAAAGGGAACATACATTCACGTGTGGTGGCATTGTCAACACTTAACTCAAATATGGAAAGAGATGGCCGCTGCCACCTCGAGAGCATTACAAACGGACATCCCCCTAGACCCATGGACCTGGCTGCTGTCCAGGCCCCTAGAAAATCTGACCCGAGCACAAAACAAACTAGTAGCAAAAGTGGCCCTAGTAACACGTAGAACTATAGCCACCCACTGGGGCAGCCCAGAAATCCCAACAGCCTCGGAGGCCCAGAGAAAGATTAAAGAGGCCATGGAGATGGACGAACTGTCCGCACTCATACACGAGAACACTAGATCTTTCCATAAGATCTTGGACCCCTGGTTGACATTGTAAGACAACGCAAGCGGGGAAGGGGGGGGAGAGAGAACTGCCCCCCCTCTTTACCACAATCCACCCCTACCCTACACCCGCCCACACCACACATCAAATCACCACAACCAACAGAAAACAATTACACAAACTTGCAAACATCACGACTACAAGCAATCACCTGAACTAACTCAGGTGAACCCCACAAGCTCAACCACACACACATCAAAATGATATTACGACACAAGGACACTCTCCAAGTTCTAAACCCCTAAACCCCCGACCCCAGAGGCACCACCTCACCCCCAGAGGACAGAGACAGCGCAACGCAACAGACAGAGTACTACAACGACTCCTCACAAGGCCCATGCCCTAGGCGAAGGACAGGTTTGAGCCTCACAGCGCATCACCAAAACCCATCGCCTAGGGCCCACTCCCTAAACTCAGGGCAAACGGTGGTTACGCCTAACAGAGGGGACACCCCCATCCAGCTTACCCACCCGACCCTTCCAGACCCAGGGCAACGGGAGTTACAGGTTGGACAACTGAAACAATGAATGTAAACAGGGATATAGTAATGAGTACAAATGTAACCGATTTAATTGTAACATGTTGCACCCCTTTTTTTCCTTTCTGTACCCCGTTATGTTTCAAGGAAAAAAAAAAATAACTCTTCTTTTGAAGATCCAAAAATAAAGAATTTATATATAAAAAAAAAATCTTCCAACTCCTCTATAATACTTACCCTTCTGCTGCATTTTTTGTGTTGGGAAGTCAGAGAGTCAGCTGACTATAATTTAGCCTATCGCTGGTTCCCCAGTCCAAGGCTTCCGCAATGAAGCTGGGGCTGGGGGAAGTTTCTATGATCATTTAAAACATAACCTTTATTTTACAAATTAAAATAATAAACTAAAGAGTCAAATGTAATTTTAAGGTGCTTTTGGCTATTTTATTTTTAAGTTGCATATAAAAGGTGCTATTGTTTGGCATCATCTGTACATGAACCTATTTTGGATCCAAGACACATTCAGTTTGTCTGATAAATAGTGTAGGCTGTCTCTAAAAGGTTATTATAGCTCATTTATTACAATATAGAGGGTTGTACCAAGATGGACTGAAGAATGATGCCCGTCTGGGTAAAAGGGGTAGTACAGTATGGGTTACTTGTGCTTACTTTGATTTTGTTACTGGGGTGCACCCACTACTGCCACATAACAGATCATTGTAAGGAAATATTGAGCAGAATGATGGCGTCTCTGTGCAGGGATTTGACTGTCTTGGCTATTCGCAAATATAAATTACCCCAGCTGGGTGATGTTTCCTCTGCAAGGGTTCAATGGACCCAGGAGACCGCCAGTGAGGGGACGGCCATGCCTACAGCACTTTGTTTCCCTTTCATTACTCAGTAGATATTGTTAGAGATTTGGTTTATAAATAATGCTAAGTGTGACCCTCTCATATAACAATAAAGACAAAGTTACAACATCCCTCAGTTTCTGTTTGCTGTGGAACCAACGTGAGGAAATGAAGTAGGTTCTGGGGGTAAAGTCCATCCTTAATCTGTTTGCTCTGAGATATCAGATCTGTCTTATCAGTTGGAAACTCACCCTCTATCAGTAAGACTAGGTCTCCACAACTAGTGTGCCAGCACTGAGAAATGGAGAAAGATATGGAAGCAATTTGTGTGTCTGTGTGTCAGTGTAGGTATGTGTGTATATCAGTGTTTGTCATTGTGGGTATACGTGTATGTGCGTGACAATGTGTATGTGTATCTGTATGTTAGTGTGTAGCCACAGTTGTGTATGTGGACATACATCCTAGCATTCAAATTCAAACATTAACACTACATACAAACACACTGTTATACTCAAACGTCAACACTACATACAAACACAGTGTTATAATCAAATGCTAATACTACATACAAACACACTGTTATAACTACATACAAACACACTGTTGTAATCAAACACCAACACTACATACAAACACAACCCTGTATTAAAACACCAACATTGTACACAAACACACCCCTACATTCAAACCAAAACTACACAAAAATATACCCCTTCATTCAAACACCAGCACATCATACTAAACACACCTGGCAAATTTACTGTAGTATTTATTAGTGGGCAATTTACTGTGGTATTTATTGGTGGGCAAACTTACTGTGGTATTTTTTAATGGGCACCTGGCTTGGCATATTTTTAATGGACAAATTGATTGTGGTATATATACATATATATATATATATATTTTTATTCTTTTTTTTGTGGTGCATTGATATACATATAGGTTTGTACTGACAATAGTTAAGACATATATGACAAGAAATATTTACTGTATATGTCAAGGATTACTGCACTGATTTTTGGCAATATGATCATCCTGTCTTATAACTAAAGTAGTTAACGAGAAGCTTGCTTGACAAGGTGATTAGTAGGTAAGTATAGGTGATAAACTAGTGAGAGGAAACTGCAACAGAATGTCAGTTAAAGGACCACTATAGTGCCAGGAAAACATACTCGTTTTCCTGGCACTGTAGTGCCTGAGGGTGCCCCTCCCGTGACGCTCAAGGGGGAGGAAGGGGTTAATCCCTTACCTTTTATGCAGTGCCAGGCTCCCTCGGCGCTGGGACTCTCCTCCCTCTCGGCTGAATGCGCATGCGTGGCTAGAGCCGCGCGCGCATTCAGACAGTCTCATAGGAAAGCATTATCAATGCTTTCCTATGGACGCTGGCGTCTTCTCACTGTGAAAATCACAGTGAGAAGCGTGGAAGCGCCTCTAGCGGCTGTCAATGAGACAGCCACTAGAGGCTGGATTAACCCTAATGTAAACATAGCAGTGTCTCTGAAACTGCTATGTTTACTGAAAAAAGGGTTAAACCTAGCTGGACCTGGCACCCAGACCACTTCATTAAGCTGAAGTGGTCTGGGTGCCTATAATGGTCCTTTAAGATTATGAAAACGACAAACAATAAACACGTTTAAGTAACTGACACATTGCCTATTAAGAGGTACCACGGGGCATGTAAATAGACTATACAAGGGCTGTCAGCATATAGTAAGCTATGTAGTAGTAGAACCTTGCTTTTTTTTTCAGGAGAACACGTCTGGCCAGCATGAGTCAGGCCTCGCCCCCGTGGTATATATTTAATTGTAAAACTGTTACCTTCTGTCGGGCAAAGTGACACTGTTCTTTGTACATAATTTTTTCTAGACACGTGCAATTCGTTTTGGTCCTAATGTGAATTCGGACAAATTTTGGAGACGCATCCGAATCTCCGAAGTGCCGAATTGCCAAAGTGCCGAACTGAACTGCCAAAGTCCCGGATTTCGGAGGTTCCAAACTGAACCGAATGGCCGAAGTGCCAAATTTCAGAAGTGCTGAAGTGCTTTGGATTTCTGAAAAGTGGCAAAAAAAAGAGAGGGAGAGAAAATTATGTGAATGATGACAGGGCTAGGGTTAGGGTACAAGTAGGGTTATGGTTAAAAGAGCCTTGCGTGAAAAGAGGCACTAAGTGGGACTATCATATTAATCATTCTAATGGAGACTAATGTCTTAGTTGAACCAGCTATAGAGGAGGCTATACTCTAATAGCAAAATGTGAATGTACAATTCATGTGTTTATGGGTACAGATACTACATATACATGTAAATAGGGGGATTTTGAGGTACAGGTAGGTGTTTTAGGCAAACTGTTAAGTATGTGGATAGAAAAGGTCAACTATTGTGTATTTGATAATGCAAGAACATAAGGTGGTAATGTGTTAATCTTTTATGTATGACAATCCCACGAATTCCAGGGTACACATGGTCAGTTTGTTGGTAGTCAAGGTATTAGATAGACCAGCATACAGGTATCTGAGGTACTGAGGAGGTCATTCTGGTGGTGGTTGTGGTATGGGTGGGGAGTCAGTCTCCTGGTGGTTGTGATATGGGGGGGGCGGAGTCAGTCTCCCGGTGGTTGTGGTATGAGGGGGGTCAATCTTCTGGTGTTTGTGGTATGGGGTCAGTCTTCTGTTGTTTTAGGTATGGGTGGGTCAGTCACCTGGTGGTTGTGGTATTAGGGGGTCGATCTCCTGGTGGTTGTGGTATGGGGGGGGTCAGTCTCCTGGTGGTTGTGGTATTGGGAGAGTCACTCTCCTGGTATTTGTGATGATATGGTGGGGGTCAAGTCTCCTGGTAGCTGTGATATTGGGGGTAAATCTCCTGGTGATTGTGGTGGGGGAGGTCCAGTCTCCTGGTGGTTGTGGTATTGGGTGGGGGCAGTCTCCTGGTGGTTGTGATATGGTGGGTGGGGGTCGGTCTACTGGTGGCTGTGATATGGTGGGTGGGAGTCGATCTACTTGGTGGCTGTGATATGGTGAGGGAGTCAGTCTCCTGGTGGCTGATATGAGGTGGTGGGGGTCAAGTCTCCTGGTGGTTGTGGTATTGGGGAGTTAGTCTCCTGGTGGCTGTGATATTGTGGGGGCGGTCTCCTGGTGGCTGTGATATGGTGGGGGGTCGTCTCCTGGTGGCTGTTATATGGTTTGGGGGTCAGTCTCTAGTGGGTGTGATATTGGGGGTCAGTCTCCAGGTGGCTTGTGATATGGTGGAGGGGTCAGTCTCCTGGTGGTTGTGGTATTGGGCGGAGGGTCAGTCTCCTGGTGGCTGTGGTATTGGGCGGGGGGTCAGTCACCTGGTGGCTGTGGTATTGGGGGGGCAGTCACCTGC